AACACTCACCTTTAAACCTGTTACATCTTTTATATCTTCTCTCTCTATCTATCTCACTACCTAATCGCATATCTATTTATAGAGTTTTCAAATCCAATTTCTTATTGGACAAGTATTCCACAATTTGCCACAAAGGAATTGTACCATATCAGTCTTCAACTAAAAAATAACAGACTTTTGGCTTTCATATCCAACTAGTTCAACATTTCTTAAACTAGTTCAATTAGGGTTACATGTCTAACTAGTTAACAAAAAAAGTTGATTTGGTTCCAAATAACTTGAACATGTTCACTTATGCCAGAACACCACTCGCACACTGAATTCGAGTCACAAAACCAAAGAATCTCCACCTTGACTTGAATTCAGTTTTCACAAGTTCCTCCATAGCTCTACCTCGAACGAAGATTGCTTTACCTTAAACCAATTCCATCCTCGAACGAAGATTGCTCTACCTTAAACCAATACCATCCATCATCCCCATTGGTGTTCAATTGCTGACACTGTTGACCCTAAAATCAGCCGGCTAGAGCCGATCTCAAATTGATGTAAGCCGGGCATACCAGAACCACTTGGGTGGTTCGATTATAAATAGTCAACGTCAGTCCCTTTGAGAAGGTTGACTTTTAGACGATGCGAGGAAAAAAAGGGAACAATAAAATTCCTCTTTTGGGTTCAAAAATGCCTTAGTTAAAAGGACTTTCTGTAAACAAATTGTAGTAACGTAACAAGAGAATAGAAAGGGGGAGATAATAGATATAGCAAGAAAAGAAAAGGAAAGAATGAGGAGAGAGGAAGAGAGAAAGAGAGAGAAAGATACCGAGAGATTGAGATAGAGAGATAGAAATAAAGAAGAAATAGCAAGAATGCTATTCTTAGAAAAGCTTGAGAAAACAAAAACAAATAAATATAATGATTCTGAGGGTGCTGGACCACTTTCACGGCATGCCTCCTTCTTTATTTATAGATAGAATACAAACTAATTCCTAAGTACAAGCATCCTAGTTACTTTCTAATACATCTAAGAATTATTCAAATCTAACTAATCCTAACTAAATACTAATTCTTAACCTCATTTAAATACAAGATAAATATATAACTCTTATCTAATATTTTTGCAATTCAAATGTTTCCTATCCTATCTGCAGTGCCTTTGCATGTAACTTTGCCATCTTCTGTAATTTTGCCACGTCATTCAACCAACCACCATCCATGTGATGTGTAAAGCCTAACATCTTAACTGTATTGCACCATCCTAGCTGAAAACCAAATCATTTGCTTACCAACATACCTCCAAGCCCAACCTCATTTTTACATGTTTCACCCCATTATATTCTCTCGGCCCAATACTTCACTGCTCATCAAATCCAATTAGGGCCAGAACCCAATTACCAAAACGGGTGCCACGCACATTTGGTTTTCATTACTGGGCCGAAGATGGGTTAGCAATCCAAAAACCAAAATGGGTGTCAACAATGCCCCCCAATTTTGGTAGCCGTTTTAACCCTTCGGCTTCCAAAATTCAAATATACCAATTGCATCGTAACTCTGTATATATCTAATAACTCTATCAGCTTTATCTTGATTGACTTCCCAAAACATATCGATTATGATAACCATCTTATCACTCATTAATTATCGTCGTAATCACATATTTTCAACCACACACGGCTTTTCCATTACCCATAATCTTCTGTAGACTCTTCTTTCTACCACAACCCCTTCTTCTCCAATCTTCTCTCTGACAAAACCTTTTCTGCAACATGACTTCAAAACCAATGAAACAAACTGATCTAAACTTGGAAAACCCTTTTCCAGAAGCGACATCGCATACCCAACTAACAAAATCAGCGATCAAAACCCTAGATTAAAGCGAACTGAATTCCAATACCTTGATCGATATCTCTGAAAACGTTAAGGGACATGGTCTAGCGTTTGTTACCCGATTTCCCCCTTCCTTATCTTCAATTTATCCACAAGCCGAACCCTACCTTCCTTATTCCAAAACTCTCTATCTAACAGCGGAAGGAGACCGACCAACTCTCTCTGTTAGAAATTGGCATCCATCAATGCTCCAATGGAACGATTGGGTGGATCATGTGTCAGCAGCAAAAGGAGAGTAGTGGAAAAAGATGGGTCTCTTTGACTTCATTCAGCTCAGTAAGATTCCTTTCTCATTTGACCAAGCATTATTTTTTGCCACTTTGCACTTTTGGTCCCCCACAACCAATTCACTACACTTGCACTGTGGCATAATGGCCCCTACCCTGAGGGACGTCTGCTTTCTAACAGGTTTAAAACCTGGAAGGAATGAAATCAATTATCTCCTCCAGGATGAAGAAACCTTATTTTACTTCCCATAACAAAAGGGGGCTAAACACTTTGTGCAATCACATGGACCATTCTTGAAAGAAATGTTATGAGAAGAAGGGACTGACGTAGATGAACAAGAACACATAGGATTCTTACTACTGTGGCTATGTAGATATTTGTTGTGTGCTCCTGCTATCCAGATTACCAAGGACCTTACCCAATTGGCTATCGCATTATCCAAAGGGAAACCCATGGCTTTAGTTCCGTTCCTGTTAGCGTCCTTGTATAGAGGCTTATCCGATCTTATTACTTCCAACTTTGCAAGATCTGGAGGTTCATTCTGGCTATATCAGTTCTGGCTACATGCATATTTCCTTGAGTTATCCTCTCCCATTCGGCCTGCTCCAAATGATCATTTTCTATCATTTGGATATGCTAGAGTCAAACCCAAAGACCATTCCTTTAATGACTGTTTTCAATTCTTCTATCATCAGTGCAAGGTCAGGACTCAATCCCAATTCTTTCCTTTTTCCAAATGTCAACTAGCTCCATCTTAGTTGTTTCCCCTTACTGTCGAGTCTTCTCCTGAACAGATTGACCTTTATATCATTTCATGGGGCCACTTCTTGGTCGCAAGAGATATACCTTGTAATACCGTTGCTCTCAATTTGCCCAAAAGCCGAATTGGGGTTGAGTTTTATAACCCAGCGCAGTTAGCTCGGTAATTTGGATTGACGCAGATGATCCCATTACCTCCCCATTTTTCTTACAACAAGAACTATCATCGACGAGTGAAGCTTTCCAACAGTGAACAAGTTGAAGATGTGTCTAATCGATTCACTCAACTCCTTCAAGGGTTTCAGTACAAACCCTTCCTTGAAGAACCGAGTACTGACCCAAAGTTTGAGGATTGGTGGACATCTTACATCACTTTTACCAGGACCGTGGATTCCAGTCAGCTCGTGTGCACTCTCCTTGGCTCCTATAAGTTCATTTCCCTTAACTTTCAAGGTTTGGATTCCATTGAACCCATAGCCCTCTCTATTGCTCCTAAACCAGAGAAAATAACAAATACAGCACCAACTCGTCCTCCTCCTACAGCTTCTGCAGGTAGGACCAGATCTTACTCTCGGCAAAGTAAGTTTTATATATCCTCATCTTTTCCATAGAACTTCTATCTGGTTTATATGCTCACTAATCATAAATCCAGGTACTCATTCTAATGCCCCAGAGATATCCACCAAATCTGAAGAAACTCAAGTCAATTTTTATGTCCCTCTTCAAAGCATACATCCATCCTCGGTTACTAAGGTAACACCCATAACTAAACCATATATTTATTCTTTTGAGGCGTATCCCTTTTCTTGCTAACACTTTTTGTCCAAAAAAACAACAAGAAAGAAAACGGTGGGGCAAAAACCTAAAAAGTCACGAGCCAAAAGACACTTCGAACTGATTGATGATGATGAGGAGGACAACGAAGAAGTTATATCCAAGAAAAGGAAACCCGCTGCTGCCTCTCCCAGTGTAATCTCTTTTTTGCCTGACCTCGTATATTACCTTTTCTCCTTCTAATATAACTAAGTCGGCATTGTTTTCAGGAAACTCCACTCTCTTCAGAACAAAAATCAATTCAAGAAATTTCTACAGACCATGCTGGAGAAGAAGAAAAGATCGAGTTATCAGTTGGTCAGAAACAAAGGTCCCCTGTGCCTTCTCCACCCTTGGCTGCAACATCAATTCATAAGCAGGTCAGAGATTCTGATGAAGTAAGTAATGATATATGTATATATACATTTCTTTTATAACCTATTCTTGTAAACTTATTATAGCTATGGCATATTTCAAGTACAATAAGGCTCGGCTATTCCAACCAATCCTATTAGTACCAACCTAAGCTCTCCCTTTGCAACCCTTGACTCGTTATTTGATTCTGTCTTTGACTCACCTGATCTTGAACTTCCTGAAATTCCACCTGAACAAACCTCTGACACACCCCCAGAAGTTATAAAAGCCATCCAAATCCTGTCCCAAATGGTGCAACAAGACTTGTCTCTAGCCCCTTCATTCAAAAATGAGTTAACTAAAACCTTGTCCTTCTTGAGTAGTTACCCAAGATTCTCTTTATGTGACCAAGCTCTCTTCAAGAACTTCCAACTTCAAGTCCCTTCCATGATGACTGCTTATGCCGAGTCTACTCAAACCCTCAACCATTGTGCTGTTCAAACCCAAGAGAAAGAACTGCTTGCTCGATCTTTGAAGAATGGAAAAGAATTGCACTTGTCATTGAAGAAAGAAGCTGTTGAACTGGATGCACGAGAGAAAAAACTTCACACACAACTAGCTCATCTTCAAAAAGACAAATCACAACACAGCAACAAAGTGGCAGAACTAAAGAAAGAAGCAGAAGTTGCTGCCCTAAGGTTCAAAGCACTTCAGACTCAAATGCCAAAGTTGGAGCAGTCCAAAAAGCAAGCAGAGGCGAAGATTAATCAAACCAGGGTATCATGGGCAAGTTTCAAAGCCCAATTTGAAGAATTTCAACAGAACTTTAACCAACCTTGAATTTTTATTCTCTCATGACAACTATTATGGATTTGTAATGTGATTTTCAAATAATTTGCATCTTTTGGGAAGTAATGTGGTTTTCTTTGAACAATCTAGTTATCACATTATATTGATGTTATTACTTATTCATCACAAGAGCAAATTTTATCTCTACATACCTTGCATAACATACAATCCACACTATCTTGACTTACTGGAATTTTCTTTTCTTCCATGAGCTCAAAAATAGTTGGCTTATATTTTTTAAGGTATCTTCCATTTATTGGTCTCTCATGGATTTCACCATCTAAATCTTTTAACATGTAAGCGCCTCCATGCAATACTTGGTGAACCAAATATAGACCCTTCCAAGTAGGTGACCACTTGCCATAGACCCTATCCACCTTTCCAGGTGGAAGAATTGTTTGCCAAACTATATCGCCCTCCGCAAATGACTTGAACTTCACCCTTTTATTGTAAGCCCTCATGACTTTTGCTTTATGCACCATAAGGTGATCCAAAGCAAGTTTCTGGACTTCATTTAAGCATAGCTTCGTTATAATCGTCAAGAATGAGATTATGTTGCAAGGCAACCCTTGCCGATTTTACGTTTAACTCCATCGGCAACACTGCATCATGACCAAACGTTAGCCGTTATGGAGTTGTCCCTGTACTTATCCTTTTTGAGTTTCTATAGGCCCATAACGCTTCTGAAAGGGCTTCATGCCAACGCCTCAGCTTGGCTTTTATCATCTTTTCAATAATTTCAATCACAACTTTATTTAACGCTTCTGTTTGGCCATGTCGTTGAGCATAATAGGGTGTCGAGGTAACCATTTTCACTTGTATATCAATGCCGAGTTGTAATACTTCATTTGCTCGAAAAACAGATCCATTATCGACAACAATTGTTTCTGGTAAGCCAAATCGGTGAAAAATATGTCGTTCTAGAAACTGTATCACCGTATTGTGAGTTACTAAGACATATTCCTCGGCTTCAACCCACTCAGTAAAATAATCGGTAGCTAAAATAAACCAATGATGACCCTTTGATGAAGGAGGATTAATTTTGCCGATTAGATCCATAGCCCAACCTCTGAAAGGCCATGGTTTAACTAGTAATTGCATTTCTATTACTGGGACCCACTACATTGGACCATGCTTTTGACAGTCTATACAGCCTTTTGCATAAGTCATACAATCTTTTCTTATTCCAGGTCAATAATATCCATACCGGTGTATTAACCATCTCATCTTTATACCGGCTTGGTGAGCTCCACATATCCCTTCATGCACCTCGGCCATAATCTTCAAACCCTCAAACTGACTAATACACTGAAATAACAGACCATTATCAGCCGATCTTCTGTAAAGATCTCTATCCATCAACACATAATCAACTGCACTTCTTTTTATTCTTCTATCGACTTCAGGAGTTGGATGTTGCAAGAACAATATGTAAGGGATTCGCCAATCATCATCATCCAACTCAGCAACATCAGTGGCAAAGACTTTTTCCATAACCTGATTTCTCGTTTCAGCCGATGGAAGACATCGGCATGTAATTTTCATTATCCTTTCCTTCATACCACTTGGCACCCTAACTCCAGAAGCAATCTGTGCTAAATCATTAGCCATTTTATTCATGGCTCTCGGTCTGTATTCCAAAGTCACACTGTGAAATTGGTTGACTAATTGGGCAGCCAATGAATGGAATGGTCTCAATTGCCAATTCAAACACCTAAAGTCTTCTGAAATTTGATTAATCACCAAACTTGAATCTCCCACAATGTGGACGCCTCTGACTGCCATTTCTAACAGGATTTCCAAGCCGATAATTAATGCTTCATACTCGGCTTGATTATTCGAACACCTAAAATCCAAAAAGAAGGAAAGCGAAGTTTGATTCCCTGTTGGGGAGATTATGACTATACTAGCTCCCGAGCCTTCACTGGTACTCGACCCATCGAACATTAAAATCCATGGAGTCATGAATATGGATGCTGAGTCAAGCTCATCAAAGACTTGTGACTCAATTTCAGGTGAGGGATGATTGGCAAGGAAATCTGCCAATGCTCTTCCCTTAATTGCCTTTTGTGGAACATATGCCAAGTTGAACTCCATTAGTGCCAAAGCCCACTTGCCAATCCGGCCTGTGATTAATGACCTTGATAGCATATACTTTATAAGATCGGTTTGACAAACAATATACACCAAAACGGGCATCATATAGACTCTTAATTTTATTGCTATAAAATACAAGGCTAAACATAATTTCTTAATTGGTGTATATCTACACTCGACTGGAGTTAGAACTCGGCTGAGATAATATATTGCTTGTTCACTCCCTGCTTCATTTTCTTGTGCTAACATAGCTCCAATGGATTCTTCAGCAGCCGATAAATATAACTTCATCGGCCATTTCTTCCTTGGAGGCATCATGACAGGAGGACTCGACAAGTATTTCTTAATCTGGTCAAATGCCCTTTGATGTGTATCATCCCATTTGAATTCTTCCATCGGCTTCAACTTGAGCAGCGAGGAAAACACATGTAATTTTTCGGCTGTATTAGCAATAAATCTCCTAAGATAATTCACTTGCCCAAGTAATCTCTGCAACTGTTTCTTACTTTTTGGCGCACTAGCATCAATAATCGCCTTAGCTTTATTCTTATCGATCTCTATACCCCTTTGATGAACCAAGAAACCCAAAAAATTTCCTATCGATACTCCAAAGGCGCACTTTATTGGATTCATTTTTAGCTTATGAGCCCTCATTCTCTCAAAAGATGCTTTAAGATAGACTAGGTGCTCTTTCTTCGCTGCCGATTTCACCACCACATCATCAATATACACCTCCATAAACTTGCCGAGCATATCATGAAAAATAGAGTTCATGGCTCGCTAATATATCGCGCCAGAGTTCTTCAACCCAAAAGGCATTACCACCCATTCGAAAGTTCCAATCAATCCAGGACACCTAAAAGGTGTCTTTGGAATATCCTCATCGGCTATGTAAATCTGATTATAGCCTGAGTGTCCATCCATACAAAACATAATTTGGTGTTTTGCAGCCGCATCAATCAGCTGACCAGCTATCGGCATTGGATACTCATCTTTTGGAGTTGCCAAATTTATGTTTCGGAAATCAACACATATACGTAATTTTCTATTTTTCTTGATAATAGGAACTACATTTGATAACCACTCAACATACCTTGTGGTTCGAATGAAGCCAGCATCCAACAATCGTTCGATTTCTACTTTGACTTTATCTACCACCACTTGAGACATTCGACGAGGTGGCTATTTATATGGCTTATAACCATTTTTAATGGGCAGCCGATGTTCCACCAGATCTCTGGACAAACCCGGCATTTCCTCATAATTCCAAGCAAAATAGTCACTGTATTGCTTCAATATACCGATAACTTCGGCTTGCAATTCTGGTTCTAACAGTGCACTAATATAAGTAGGTCTAGGCTCTGTGTCAGTGCCTAAATTCACCTCCTTTAATGGATTTTGAGTTTCTGCTTTAAGATCATCGAGCTTAGCTGGTGCTAATTCCAAGTCTTTTAACTATATCGCATCCAACTTTTCATTATTGAACCGATCAATCTTGGTAAGATTAACCGATGCTCCTGGCTCTATTATTGCTTCTTTTTCTAGCCATTTTTCAGCTATGTTAGCTTAAAGCCTGATGCAAGTGGCCCTAAAGGCTTGCTGCCGAGCGGCTTCCCTTTCAAGTTTTGCTTCCATCAATAACTTCTTTAGTTGTAGTAAGCCGAGGGAGTTCTACCTTCGGCCTGGAATTCTCTTACTGCAACTCACCGATTCCACGATCGGCAAGACTTCGTCTCATGGTTGCCGAGGTTGGTCTTCCATCGGCTCCTGTTCCCACAAACCAGATAGGAACACATTCTTCGTCATATAAAATAGCATCTGCCGAATGCACTTTTGCCACAAATGGCTTATCATCGGCATTTACTATTTTTACTTTATCTCCGTCCCAAAAAATCAGCATCTGGTGTAATGATGATGGGATGCACATATTTGGATAAATCCAATCACGGCCTAATAACAAATTATAGGAAGTCGTGGATTCAATAATAAAAAATGCCGCAAAAGACATCCTACCTCCAACTTCTACTTCTAAAGGAAGGATCCCTTTAGTGCTGGTAGAACCTCCGTTGAAACAACAAATTGCTACATCAGTAGGAATAATATCTTCCATACTCTTGCCGAGTTTCTTCAATGTGTTTGCTGGAATAACATTTAGAACCGAGCCATTGTCTACTAAGACTCGATTAATAAGTTGACCTTCTACCCACACCTTAACATATAAAGGCTTAAGTTGTTGAGTCATTGCTAACAAAGGTTTTTCAAAAACCACATTCTCTGCCGATTCTGAGGAAAGAATTGATAAATTCCGAATCGGCTGAGTTTCCTTCTCATTCTCCTCAGTATTTGCATTTGATGCCGATGGAGCCTGGAACATTGCTGGTAATACAAATGCCATGTTACATGACATCTCATCTAGAAAACTGCCAAACTGAATTTTGAATTCATTGTTATGTCTGGGCCACGTCGGCTGATGCTTCTCATCCTCTTCATTTTTATCTGGAATGCCGATTTCCTTTGCTTGTACTACTTCTGCTTTCCTTTTTCCCTCAGCTCTTCTCCTTTGTTCTCTACGCTTCTGAGAATGAGTGAGGCCCCCATTCTGAGATTGTTGAGCTTTAGGGAACTTTGGATAAATAACTCAAGTCCATCTATCTTCAATCGAGTCTGTCCTTGGTTTCACAGTTCATACTCTATATGAATTGGCTCATTTCTGTACCCAAATCTCTGACTAAACCGGTGACTGCCTCTTAAAACTGGGATGTCAATTTTGGGAATGAAATCGGCTAGATATATCACCTTGCCGAGTTGGCCTTCCTGTTTTCAAATGGTTGTTGCTGGAATCACCTTGCCGAGGCTCCTCCATAGGCTTCAATGGGAAAATAAGCCTCTCAAGAATTCCTTTCTTCTTTGGTTGAACCTCCATTAGCACATCTTCCTTTGGTTATTGCTTTCCTTTGCAATTTGGGCAACAACCATGATCAATCAAGGCTAATTGAGCCTCCCTTAATTACTTCTGCAATTCTGCCATCTTTTCAGGTGTCGTAGTTGATGAAAGGAACTCATTAGATATCTTCTCTGCCTCCTGCCGATTCTCTCGCTTGGCTAAGCTTATCACATTTGTAGATGCGATTGTTGGAAACGGATTAGTATCCACCTTCATGGTCTCTGAAGTTTTCTCCGGGAATTTTAAAGTGCCTTCATCAGTAGCTTTCTGCAATACACCTCGTAGAACAGTACAATCATTAGTAGCATGGTTCCAAGAGTTATGATACTTACAATACTATTTTCCCTTCAAGTCACTTACCGATGGAATCCTATGCCCTTTAGGTAAAGATATCATTTTATCGGCCATCAAGTGATCAAAAATTTAATTTGTTTTCGATAAGTCGAACGAATAACTTTTCCAGGTATCGGCAGGACCTTTCCTTACTGCCGATGTTGACGTTGATGAATTGCCCCCCGTGGTCAGTTTAGGTTTAACCAACGCCTCACAAACGTATGGCTTTTTGATATTAACCTCTGCAACGTCAACTTCTAATTCATCTCCAACTTCTACCAAGAATACCTCATAATTAGGGTCCTTGTACCAAGTACCCTTAGAAGAATTCTTCCTCTCTTTCTCTTCTTTTAATATTTCCTCATACCGAGAAGCCCTGTCTGCCAAATCAAAGAGATCTTGAAACTCAACCCCATCAAACCTCTTGCGATGTTCAATGTCTAAACCATTTAATGCCAACTTGATGTATTCTGGTTCTGGTAAACTTACTCAGCATTTGAGTTTAACCTTTCTGAACCTGGCAACAAAAGTCTCAACTGATTCACTCGGCAACTGAGATAATTGAGATATGTTTGCCACTGCAGCTTCTGTCTCTATTCAGTAGAATTGGGTATGGAACGGTTCCTCCATCTCATCCCAAGTCTAAATAGAATTAGCCGGTAAGTTGTTGTACCATTCAAAAGCTGCCTCAGCAAGAGAGCTAGAGAATAACCTCATCCTTAACAGCTTCTCCACATTATGCAGCGAACCTTGCAATATGTTGTACTGTAGAGAAATTTTCTTCGCCACTGTACATAGAAAAATTGGGATACCAATAATTTTTAGGCAACTCATGGGCATCAACGTGATCAGGATAGGGCTTTCTGTATACCGGCCGAGCACGTCTGCGACCTTGTGCTACTTCGGCCTGTATTAAAGCCAAAATCGGAGCCCTATCAATCCCTGCATTTCTTCCTGGAGGATCATTTGGGTGCCGCAGAATGAAAGGATTAACCCACTCCCTTTGTGGATCGGCATTCACTTACCCCCCAGTAGCCGCTGGAGGTATCAAAGGATTGACCCTACCTTGGTTTAGATGGCCGACACCTTCTTGTTGATTTCTCACTGGTGGAATCGGCTGCTCATTGGAACGCTGCACAAGCTGATCATTCATTAATGGCTGGAACACCGACACAGGATTCACCACCAACGGATTTGATAAGATTGGCGGATTTCCCATTGGCATGCCAAATGTATGATTCGGCACGTTGCTGATCGTAACACCAATCCTGCATTTGGCAGTATGGTGCTTGTTCGAGGTCCTTGGGATATATGAACCAATGGTGCCGTCAAACGCTGAAATATGGACTCATTGACGTGAGACGCTTTAGCCTGATCTTGTCGGCTTTGATTCGCCGATATATTGGTTTCAAGTTTCTGACTCATTTTCTCCAACTGAGTGTACATCATTTGGTTTAACTCCCTTGTCATCAACCTCATTTCATGCATTTGAGCAACCAAAAGCTGATTTGATTCTCCCATTTGAGACCTTACCTCGCTGATCTGTGCTTGCTGGGCATCGATTTTTTGCATAATTGATTCCAGTACCCGACTCAAAGGGACGTCGAATGGAATAGATGAGTCGGCATCATTGCCTACGCCGATCTGTGGATTTTATTCGTCAATATTATCTCCTGTATTAACGCCTTTCGAACCTCTTAGCTTTGGAGGCATCTTTACTATAACTTGCTCACCTGATGGGGTCCCACAGGGCATGCCAAAAATGTTAACCCTAAAATCGGCCGGCTAGAGCCGATCTCCAATTGATGTAAGCTGGGCATGCCAGAACCACTTGGGTGGTTCGATTGTAAATAGTCAACGTCAGTCCCTTTGAGAAGGTTGACTTTCAAACGATGCGAGGAAAAAAAAGGGAACAATAAAATTCCTCTTTTGGGTTCAAAAATGCCTTAGTTAAAAGGACTTTCTGTAAACAAATTATAGTAACGTAACAAGAGAATAGAAAGGGGGAGATAATGGATATAGCAAGAAAAGAAAAGGAAAGAATGAGGAGAGAGGAAGAGAGAGAGAGAGAGATACCGAGATATTGAGATAGAGAGATAGAGATAAAGAAGAAATAACAAGAATGTTATTCTTAGAAAGGCTTGAGAAAGCAAAAACAAATAAATATAATGATTCTAAGGGTGCAGGACCACTTTCACAGCATGCCTCATTCTTTATTTATAGATAGAATACAAACTAATTCATAAGTACAAGCATCCTAGTTACTTTCTAATACATCTAAGAATTATTCAAATCTAACTAATCCTAACTAAATACTAACTCTTAACCTCATTTAAATACAAGATAAATATATAACTCTTATCTAATATTTTTGCAATTCAAATGTTTCCTATCCTATCTGCAGTGCCTTTGCATATAACTTTACCATCTTCTGTAATTTTGCCACGTCATTCAACCAACCACCATCAATGTGATATGTAAAGCCCAACATCTTAACTGCATTGCACCATCCCAGCCGAAAACCAAATCATTTGCTTACCAACATACCTCCTAGCCCAACCTCATTTTCACATGTTTCAGCCCATTATATTCTCTCGGCCCAATACTTCACTGCTCATCAAATCCAATTAGGGCTAGAACCCAATTACCAAAATGGGTGCCACAGGCATTTGGTTTTCATGACTGGGCCGAAGGTGGGTTGGCAATCCAAATACCAAAATGGGTGTCAACAGACACATGCATGGAAACCCATTAATCAATCAACTTATCTTCATTAATTGTTTTTCTGGCTCAAAGCGCAACAAACTTTTCTTCTTCACTCTTCATTTATCTTTATCAGGCTTAAAGACAACCCCTTGATTCCTTATCAACATACTTGCCCATCTTGAGAACTAGCACCCTCTCTTTAACTTGTCCCCAAAACTTTTTTCCTTATGGGCTTCACACCATCACCATACCTGGTGTCATCATTAACTTTGATTGAATCTCTATAGCACCTCATAATTAACCTTCTGCTCTGAAAAACTTCACATCAATCTCTTGGTCTGATCATTAGGACAAAACCACATGTTTGACCCACACTCGGCTTTGATACTAGTTATTGGGGATAATTAACTCCCTCCCATGGTTAATTATTGTTGAGAGTTAAATTCCTTCTTTATCACACATAGTGGAAGCATCATTACATCACATCAACACAAGCATATGTGGAGATAATAATCATATACATCCACTGACAACATAATATTTTACATGGTTCACCTAACTACATGGTTACGTCCATGGATATAAAGATTTTCACTATTATGAATTAAGGAAGAGAATATACAAATAGATATCAAAACCCCAGCCACTCACACATCATATCTTTTGAGGATACATATATACAATCAGGAATTAAATATACTCTCCCCTCTCCTCACAACACACCCTTAAAACCCTTACATATTTTCTCTCTTTCTATCACTCAACCCAATCCCATATTTATTTTTAGAGTTTTCAAACCCAATTCTCTGTTCGATAAATATTCCCTAATTTGTCTATAAGGAATTACCATATCAGTTTTAAACTCTAAAATGGCAGTCTTGTAGCTTCCACATTCAACTGGTTCAACTTTTCTTAAAATGGTTCAATTGGGGTTGCATGTCCAATTGGTTTAAGAAAAAGTTGATCTGATCCTAAATAACTTTAACATGTTCACTTCTGCCAGAACAATAATTGCACACCGAATTCGAGCCACAAAACCCAATAATTTTATACTACGATTACTTTCACCAACAAGTCACAACCACCAAATGGACAATAACCCAGTTGGTACGTACAAATCCTCCTTCCCAAAATAGGGGTTAGGTGTAAATAAATTTTAAAAAATAAAAAGTCGATGAGGAGTAAGAGAGAACATGCTAACTTTAAGTATAATCTAAGAAGCACGGATACTTCTAGGAGAGCAATGTACCTAAATCGGATACGTGTCAAATATCGATATTTCACGGATACTCGCGGATACGTGTTTAATACTTCTTAAATGTATCCATAATTTTAAAATACATTTTTTTAATTTCTAACACATATCTGATACTTCTCGGATACTTCTTAGGTATATCGATTGCGTATCCGACATTTCTCGGATACTTCATAACACATTTTTAACAAGTTTGAACATTAAAATGCAACTTTTTCAACAATAATAACATAGTATAATTGTTAAAAAAATAATAATAATAAAATAAAATAAAATAAAAAATAAAAAAAATCAAATTTTATTAAGTGATAACTAGGGATGCTTGTTTTATGTGTTATGAAACAAACTTATATACTATGTTAATGATTGTAATTAGATTCATAATATTTTAAAAAAATTGATCAAAAATTAATTTTTATGTATACATAAAAATTAAATTTATGACTATTTTATTGCCTTATCCCACTGTACCCGTATCTTATTTTTTTGAGATTTGTCGTATCGCCGTACCTATATCGTGTCGTATCCATATTATGTATTCACATTTGTGTTTCTAGAGGATAATGATACCCACTACTTCAAAGGTGACTTTTATCAAATGAAGATTAACCAATAATTTTTTTCTTTTTCCTTCCCTCAATTGTCTACTATGGACTCGAAACCTCACTACTTCACTGTTATACCATTTATACCCTCTCAAAAAATGACGGTCACATTCTTTAATTTGAAATTTTATTAAGCATGTTAACAATTTTATTGGATTAAAATCATAAAACTCCCCATACCATTCCAAAGTAATATATAACCCTAGAGTAAAAAAACTGCTAAAAAGTCCATTAATTATAGAAAATTCAAGGAATCACTCCTATTCCGTTTTTAGGTCAACTTTTTAAAATTTTTTTTTTTTTTTGAAAATTAAAGCAAATTGTATAAATATAGAGTGAAGAATACAAAGAAGGCCTTTGGCCAAAGACAGCCTTTCACAAGAAATACAAGCCCAAAGGCAACCCAGCCCTCAACCAGAGCAACCTAGAGCAGAGGCCCAGCCCAAGAACAAAAAGATCTACAAGTAGCAATGAAATCGATACTTGGAGAACTGAAACCAATTCCGGTAAGCGAAGCCTGCGGCAATGGAGGAGAGACCCTCCACCTCTTAGTCTGGTGGACAAGGAGGAGGTCTACAACAAGAACGAGAAAGATTCCAGCTGCTCAGAATCGATCTAGAGGCCATGCAATCCTTTAGACAACCCAGGCGAAGCAAGGATGTGATTGAGTTGCAGACCTTTGTTAGAACCCTGTTCTGAGTTGATGGATTCCCTCTGAAGATACGGTTGTTCCTTTCCTTCCATGTGTGATATACTAGGGCTGACAGGGGGATTTTCCTGAGGATGCTTATCGAAGAATTTGACTTCCATTGGCTACTAATCCATAGAATCAGGTCTTCCCATGTGAGAAAATAATTGTAGAATCTGCATCTAGCTTGGATAAACTTCCAAAGAGGGGCTGAGAAGTCACATCTGAAGAAGAGATGGGAATGTGATTCATTTTCAATTCCACAAAGGACACAGGTATTACCATGGTGAACCATAGCTCGAGAGTCAAGTGTGGGGAGTCTGCTTTGAATTGCTAGCCACATGTTAAATTTCATTCTTGGGATAGAAACTGTGTGCCACACCAGGTTGTACCATGGAACTAAAGTATCATGATCCATGATGTGGGAAATTGTGTGCTTCAAGCTAAAAGAACCAGAGGGAGAAACAGTCCAAATCAACTTGTCCTTTCTGAGAGGCACTGGTTGTTGGATTGAGTTTAGCTCTGAAATAGCAAAGAGGAGAGCAGGTGGGAAATTCCAGCCATTGTTGACAATGAAGTTTGCCATACTTGTATTCTTATCAATTCCCAAGAGTGATAGAATGGTTGATGAGAATCTTAAACACAGAGGCCCTCCAGCAGACCAATTGTCGAACCAAAAGGAAGTATCAATCCCATTGCCAATAAGGTGCTTGATAAAATGCCTTGCATGGTGTCTCAGTTGTAAAATTTTCCTCCAGCTCCAGGAGCATGAGTGAGGAATCTTCAAGGTCTAGAAGTTCCTGCCTTTAATCCCCTATATACTATCCCAAAATGTCATATAAGTCCCACACCTAGCAAAGTGAGCATGTTACTCCCATTACATGACAGGGCTAAGTTTCAAACTTGTATGCCATATGTGATGAACAGGAATGTATGTCTGTTGTCCAAATATGCTATAGTGTATATGTGGTGTCCAAGTTTAAAACGGTGAGGCAATGCCATAGGTGAGGCTATCATATATGAGCTGTACACTATGTATTCTATCATATTCTAACAAATATATATTGGTAGATTTATTTATTTTTTCCATTTTACAAAATGATACGCCATCATACAAGTGATAATAAAAATGAGGGTGAAGTGTAACACACCAAATAAAATAAATAACATTGTAATACTCATTTATTAAATAGGTTTAGAGAAAGTAGAATTAAATTAGTATGGGATTCAAAATATGAAGAAGTGAGTATATAAAGTATACTGATCTAACTTCTCTTACTAAATCTGTCTAAATTGATATACTCGTACCTCTATCACACGCACACGTTGTTACGTAATTTCTTCCAATATCCCATCTAAAAATAGAAATAGCATAAACCATCCAAAAAAAACTTATTTTTTTTAGTGATAAATTTATTCAATTTGATATAGTGAAAAAATTGAACGTTATTAAGTTAAAGGATACATAAATCAGTTCTTCTCACTTGAAAAGTATGATTAAAAAACATTGATATTATATTCATGTTAATCACTCTATAAACAGGAAACCGAATCATGTGGCAAATGAAAATTCATGTGGAGAATGAGAATAGGCAGGCCGGAGCCAGCTTGGGCCCCGGGCATGTGCCCCCTAAACAGGTTTTTTCTTTCTAACACACCGATATAATTTTTGTATACATATAAATATATGTTGTAAAAAATTACTTTGTCCCCCCTGAAATTAAATCATATATGGCTCCGTCCCTGAGAATAGACGTGTGGTGCAACGACGGTTTTAAATTTTAATAAACATTTATTAAGTCCGGACAAGTTTTACACACAAGCCAAAATAATAATGAGGATTATTAGATGGTTCTGTAATATATGCTGTTATTAAGCGGGGACATATTATACTCGCATGCCCATCGTGGTCTCGTCAAATTAAAATTGATGTTTTAATTTCTTTGTAATATATTAATATAATTTCCGGAATTTATTTTTTTAATTGAAGAGTCTTGATTTGACTGGATTCAAGTGTCACTGATTTAGAATCATTTAAGAATCTGTCCGTTGTCAGAGGTGGACTAACAAATTTTTAGATTTCAAGTTAGTTCTAGGTCTAAATGAGGTACATGATTGGGTTAGTGTAAGGGAACATGACACTGTTTCTGGGCGATAACCATGCCATTTGTGTTTTACCTTGTCAATGTGAACTGAATTCCATAATACTTCACAGATGATCGTAGTATATATGGTCATATTTGACTTGAAAGAAGGGACATTGGACCACTTCGTCGACCAGATCATCAATTGTTGTCTTCTATCCAGAGCCCGATTTGGTTTCTGCCCTCAAAACATTTCTTGAAGTTGGTTCTCACGTTAATTTTCATCTCTCTGAGTTTCTTTGAATAAAAGAAAAAGAAATTGTGAATCTTTTCTCTTTAGATATGAGTAAGTCAACGGGCTGGTCTAGATGGATTGTTTGTAGATTTTATTCAATGAAATTAAATCAATTTTTTTGTCAAATTAAGTGTTATATATTTGATAACTCAATTCATTACTTAAATTCTTGATAAATAAACTATTTATTTAACCAAATGCTAGATTTACTTTCAATATCACTGACAATAATCGAATTTTATGTGAAGTCTTGACTTTTTTTTTTTGGCAGAAGAGTCTTGAGACTCTTGACATGTTACGGAAAGTATTTTAAAATTATATGACTAGGAAACCATGACTAACTTTGAATCCACTAATTTTTGGGAAAGAGAGTTCTTGATACTGTTGATAAATATCTATTCTACTTATCGCGAGCAAAAATGTGTTACAATTTTCCAAAAATGGTTCTCTTCAAACTAAACTCTCCTGAAAAATGTATCAGCTCGTCTGTTGCTGTTCTTCAGCATCCAAATTTTAATAAAGTAGGTTCCCAATATATATATATATATACACACACACACACACACAATTAAGTGTCGAACAAATTCACAATTTGATATCTCACATTCTATTAGACTTGAAGCACTAATTTTATATGACAATTACATTCACCAGGAAGACAACAACCCACACAGCACGACATGAGTTTTTGTCTTAAAAATGTATATCAAGGTGCCTTCTATGGAATAAAAATTAATTCACTACTTTTTTTTTTTGGTTATGTAAAATACTCCCAAACATTCTCATAAACTATCCACTAGGAGACTCGAAATTTTACCTTTATACTACTTAGAGCATTGGCCAGTCAGTTTAATTGAACAATGCATCTCCCTTTTAATTTGAAATTTTATTGAGCATGTTAAAACCTTTATTATGTGCTTTTTTCTTTTTCAAATATTTAATAGATTTATATATATATATTTTTTAGACAAGCATGTCTCAAGCCACATTATAGTTAATTCATAGTAGCTACAAACCATATATGTGTTAGGTTTCACATACAATTGGCAAATATAACATATAAAAAACACATGCACATAAGTAAAACAAGATTTTATGTGGTTTGGTAAATTGCATGGTCCACGGGTGAAGAACGACTAACTTTACTTCAAAAACTTGAGTACACATTCTTTTCTTTCTCACAATATGAATTCGTTTTTTTTTTTTTTTTTTCTCTCTACAATTTTCTCTCTCTAATCATTTCTTTATTTATAGTCTTCAAAACCATATTCCTTGTTGGACAAGTTTTTCCCAACTTGCCTACAAGAAGTTATCGTATCAGTCTCCAACTCTAAAATAGCAGATAAACTTCTTCCCCAAATCTTCAGCTTTTTTCCCAAGTTTTCACTGCTAAAGTTGAACTAATTCAACTTTAGCAGTAGCCAAAGTTAAAAGTTAACGCCACAATTGAACCGGTTCAACCCCCACTTAATTGGTTCAACTTTGGCACTAGCCAAATCAAGTATGTACAATCAGGGAAAAAAAAAAAAAAAGAAAAAAAAAAAAATCAAGTATGTAAATCAGTAACTTCAACCTCCCAAATCATTCACGTAATCAACACGTGATCAGACTATGTCTTCATATACTACAACATAACTCCACTTCGGATAAGAATCTCTTCATAACTCCACCTTAACTAAAGATTTCTCCACTTCAAATAAAGCACTATGACAAAATTGAGAAACACTCTAACAATCTCCACATTTTCTCAAATTTTATTATTCTCTTTCTTGTTATTCTTCACCGCACCACCTTATTCATCTATTCTTAGCAAATTCTAAATTCAGATAATTAAACTTGGAATCTACTTTCACATCACCAATTAAACTATTCTTGCTTTTGGGATAAGGGCTGGTGCTCTTGCAATTGTCAAGACTTTTTCTGTCATTTGCTGTTCTTGATTCTTCATTCTAGTAAATCTCGAAGGCTTCTATTCCGTCTTTATAATTGTTTTACTTAGCATAGTATTTTCCAATAAAATATAGAGATTGTTGACTTTCCTTACCAAAAGGATGACACGCCCTCTTCTAATCTTCTTCAAACCACTCTTTACTTCACACAAGCAACCCTTGGAATCAAATGCTCCCACAGAGATCATATTCCTTCTAACACATGGAATATGACATACATTCGTTAAAGTTCCTACCAAACTATTCATTGTCTTGATTTTAATTGTTCCAATTCCCATAACATCATAAGAAACATTATTCCTCTTAAATACCTTGCCATCTACAGGTTTTTAGGTAGCAAACCATTCTTTATGAGGATATACATGAAAGGAACAAGCAGAGTCAAGTATCTATTCCTTAGTTTCTCCCTCACTATCAATGATTAATAATGCTTCATCATTATCACTCTTTTCTTTGGTAACTTTAGACACAACAACAACATGGGATTCATTCTCGTTTCGTTCTGGACAAAACTGTAATACCCCTAGTTTTCAAAACGATAAAATGGGAATTTAATTTTGTTTTTATTGCATTTTTATTTAATTGTGTGACTTATGTGTTTTGTTGCTTAATTAATTAAGTGTTTAATTGAAATGGTTTATTTGGTTTGGTTTATTAGTGGATTTATTCTGCTGTAATTATTTAAATTGTGATTTAACTTTATTTAAATTGATTGTTTATTTGGTTTAATTTAATTGGTTGATTAATTGGTTGTTTAATGAAATTAGTTTTATTTGTTTCAATTATTTATTTAGGGTTTTGTTTCTGGGTAGTCACGTTTTTATATAGCCGACTTAGTATAGAATTAATTATTTTATCGGTTTCATTCTTGTATTACAATTGGAATTAGGGTTGAGTTTTATAAGCCTATATATATACGTATATAATCTGCCAAGGGTTTGAGAACCCTATACACGTACTAGAGGCAGAGCAAAACAGAGAGAGGTTTAAGAGGAAAACAAAGAGGAAACCTAGGGTTTGGTAAAGAAGTGTTTGTTCGTGTGTTGAACCAAGGAGGAAACAGAGGAGTTGAGGACAGTAGGAGTCACCGGAGAATTTAGGAAGACGACGCAGAGGTTTTGAACCCAAACCTCAAAGGCAAGTTCTAATCCTATCTCTATTCCTTAGACTCGTGTTCTTTGCATCTCTAATACAATTCCAGGATCATATAAAGTTTAAAATTCAACTAGTATGCATGTCTGAATTTTTAAACTGAACT